CCTTTCTTTCCTCCGTTTAGACCCTGGGTGTGGGAACATGACCCTCATAGCGACAAGCGAGCCACAACAACTGACAACTCCTTACTACCCAGACATGTACCCGCTGTAAGTAATTGACCGTGGGAACCTACAGGCCAGGGGTGTGTCAGCAAAGGATTTGGGGGTATAGAGTATGGGTACTGTAAGGTATCGAATTAAAGGGGGGCGGGGTAGGAATAAAAGGGGGGGGGGTTGGACAAGTGGTCCAAAATTAATCAACAGGGAGATGGAAAAAAGGGGGGCGGGGAAGGACGGGGGATGCTTATTCGATATGTAAAGAGAAGCACATCGACACTATTAATGGTCTAAAAGCTACCAAGCAATAAAATGTTATCTTTTCACATTTTGGGTTTGTGGTGACCAAGAAAAATCTCATCTTCTCTTTGTTTACTTGGGTAAAGAGAAACACATGGGCAGAATAACGGCCATCATACAATTCATGGAATATGCAAGACTGATAGATAGAAACAACAGAGGGAAAGAAAAGAAGTAGGATTTATCAGTGGCGCCCTTCAATCGGCCTTTTGCATCTTGACAGACGATCTTACAGCAATAAACATGATACAACTTTGCCTGGGCGGTAGGCATAAACTGTGTAGATTTTACAGCAGTTTACATAATACAGCTTTGTGTGGTAGACATAGAGGAAGTAGATCTTACAGCAGTGTACATGATACAATTTTGTGTGGTAGACATAGAGGAAGTAGATCTTACAGCAGTGTACATGATACAATTTTGTGTGGTAGACATAGAGGAAGTAGATCTTACAGCAGTGTACATGATACAATTTTGTGTGGTAGACATAGAGGAAGTAGATCTTCCAGCAGTGCACATGATACAATTTTGTGTGGTAGACATAGAGGAAGTAGATCTTCCAGCAGTGCACATGATACACTTTTGTGTGGTAGACATAGAGGAAGTAGATCTTCCAGCAGTGCACATGATACAGCTTTGTTTGGTAGACATAGAGGAAGTAGATCTTCCAGCAGTGCACATGATACAATTTTGTGTGGTAGACATAGAGGAAGTAGATCTTCCAGCAGTGTACATGATACAGCTTTGTTTGGGCATTTTTATGGACGTGGGGCAATTTTTTTTCCCGAATGTTCTTTTTTTTGTTTCAATATCTTTAATCTCCATTGTAAATTAGAAATACATTCATGTGTGGATTTTACTGAAAAACGGTGATCAAAGGCATAAAAGATGTAAATTAGCATTTTCCAAAGACTCTCAGGCTATGGAAGTTACCAAAGGCGCCATTTTCTCGCTGATTTTACCTCTGAAACAAAGTGAGCATGACCTCCTTCAATCGCAAAAATTTCGACTTCTCTTCAACATAGATGGACATTTTTTCACTTTTTTCACAAATGAACTTGCTTTAAGATGTTACCGTTAACCCCATATGTCCGGAAATTGACGAGCGCCTGATTCCACCACATCGTGACACATTTTCTTATCATTCACAGAAACTTGACATGTAACTGGATTATTCAGAATGAGAAGCCCAGCAGCTCGTATTTCCATGCTCGTAAACACATCGTGATAGAGGGCCCTGATCGTGCCTCGTGCAATGCCTTGAAGAGAAGTGAGGGAGACTACTTGTTATATGTCACATCTGTGGCAGGTGAGGACATGTCTTTTATTATCTACATGCAGAAGATTTTTGCAGAAACTGCTCTGTCTTCTCCCCCAGCCACTCTTTTTTATTCTCTCTCTCTCTCTGTCTCTCTGTCTCTCTCTGTCTCTCTCTGTCTCTCTCTCTGTCTCTCTCTCTCTCTCTCTCTCTCTCTCTCTCTCTCTCTCTCTTTTTTTTTCTCTGTCTCTCTGTCTCTGTCTCTGTCTCTGTCTGTCTCTCTCTCTCTCTCTCTCTCTCTCTCTCTCTCTCTCTCTCTCTCTCTCTTTTCTCTGTCTCTCAAGCAGACACTCAGTACCACACCCTTTCATCGAAAGAATGCATAACAATACCATCTTGACTTCCCACATATTATCTTCAATGCGTTAAATCTTAACTGGTTCCCGTAAATTCGCATAAGATTGTTGTAACGTCAAATTTCTACTTTTTGAGCAACGGGAATTAAGTACGTTTAGCAGTTTTCATTAATTATTAACTCTATGCTATACAGGCCAAACCTCAACCCTCAACAATGAATAGCAAAGCAAGATAACAGCCATACAAATGCAATCTGTCAGAAATAGGTCTCTCCTTAACATCTGGAAAAGAGACAGACAAAGAAACACCAAGAGAAGAGACAGACAAAGAAATGCCAGATGACGAGTGGGTGTAAGATCGGAGATGGAATTTATTGAGAGACAACAAATCTCACGATTTAGACGACAGGTCATGAGAATAGGGCCACAAGAGCATGCCTCAAATGCCTACAGTATGAAGTCTGATGGCTTCAAGGTGAAGGGAACACAAAGAAAAAAATATGGATTGAAGGAATAGAGTCAAAGAGCCTAATATTCATTATTCAAAGGCACAAGATCATGACAATGCCAAAAGATAAATACACCTGGCCAACGTCCGGCAGTTTCAGCTCCCCCGCCCCCTTCCGAATACAAGAGGATATGATCTATTATTATTTTATTGTTGTTGTTATATTATTATCATTAATTATTATTATCATTATTATTATTATCATTTTTATTGTCATTATTATTAATTCGCCAAGTCTTACTTGTTCTGTATTCCTCAGGTTCTGGCTTGTCCCGAAAGCCGCACACCAATGTCTGTCCCACTTTCCATCTACACTTTTTCCAAATGTTCAAGGAAGACAAGGTCCATGTCACGTTTACTTCAGACCTTGAACAAGTTGGGCCAGGCCTCAGCCTGACATATTACGTGCGAGGTAAAACAAATTTTAAACTTTTTAAATATTGTTATGTTATTTTGTCTGAAAACCAAATAAGACTCTCTCTCTCCTACTTTCCAAACAATGATGATGATGATGATGGTTACTATATTCCTTACCTCCACGCACCTGTCCCCCCCCCCTCTCTCTCTCTCTCTCTCTGTCTCTCTCTCTCTCTCTCTTTCTCTCTCTCTCTCTCTCTCTCTCTCTCTCTCTCTCTCTCCCTCTCTACCACTTCTGGCCTTAGTGTTCCCCTCTCTCTGGCCTATGTATGTACGCACTTTCGTTTTTACAGCATGTGCACTCGTAGATCTAGATTTTTGTCATTTATGCTCGTAGATCTAGATTTTTGTCATTTATGTTGTGAATATTCCTGAGGAAGCCCGTTGAGGGCGAAACGTTGAACTTTGGATAAAAACAATTTTGAAATACTACCAGGTCTTAACTGTTTTAATATCTGCTTTATACGATGATGATGATGGTGATGATGATGATGATACTTATTATTATTAATCGTTTTATTTGCTTTGTTTGTTTTCAAGAGAGGACAAGTTTTGAAGGTTGTAACAAGGTAATTGCACTAGGGGAGAACAACCCATCATATCTGCTGGACCGCCAGTTCTTCCCACAGGATTACATGGGGTGAGTTGTTGCTGAACAGCTTGATTTCAAGTGATGTTCTATAGGTCAAGTTCAAGTGATGTTTTATAGGTCGTGAGTGGTTGCTGAACGTCTAAAGTTCAAGTGATGATCGTTACGTTTTAGTAAGAGTTTTACAGCACTTTCAACATGATAAGGTCAAATAAGGGCCGAAGAAATTGATGTGTTACAAGAGAGTAACATACACAAAAAAGAAGGAGGAGAGATAAGGATGTCGATGATAGACGCTTGATAGGAAAGAAGGAGTGAACCACACCAGAGCACCGGCCAACCACCCTCGAGTTATGTTCGAACTATATCACACTAACCCTGACTACATAGTAATCCAACTCTTTGGACCAACCGGGGGGGGGGGGGGGGGGGTTCAGAAGGGCATGCCCCCCTGACGATAAAAATAAGCAAAGCAAAACTACAACAGCAACAACAGCAAATATTGATGTTACAGATAGAGGGGAATTCCCCTTGTTTTATCCCACTTTGATGTTTTGCAGTTAGGTTTGAAATTTCCTAGAACATAATTGATTTGCGACAGTTTTAGTTGCCATGTGTGTGATTTGCAGCAAAAGATAATGCTGCATTTTGACCCCCCCCCCCCACCCACCCCGCGCAAAGCAGTGCAACTGTCTCAGGGAATGACAGTAAAACTTTACCCAATTTTGTTTCCAATCCCCCTGACAGTGCATCCTAGCGGGACATGTAGACATACGGAGTTGCTGCAAGTTAAGGGCGTTTCGTCATCATTATCAGTAATTCTACCTTATCGTCGCCATGCTGTTTAGCTGTTCTAAGATTAGAACTCGAAGATTTTCGGGACAGAGAAAAATCAGATTCATTTTAAACATTTGTACCAGCGTTATATATATTTATTCTTGCTTTTTTCAGTATTTTGAATTTGAATTTGAGCAAAACTGATTTATATTGAGAGTTTTACAACTTTCCCCACACACATATGACACATATTGATCCAAATACGAGGTGTTACCAGAGAGAAAACAACATAAAAAATAAGGATTAATAAGAACCATAGATGTCTGATACGAAAGCTTGAGCAAATCATATCAGAGCACCAGCTAACACCCCACTTTCGACAGAGTAATTTATCCAGAACATACAACCTTTACAGCAGATTAATAACCCGCAATTTAACACCCCCTCCCCCCGCCGAGAGCGAGCGAGAGAGAGAGAGAGAGAGAAAGAGAGAGAGGGAGAGGGAGAGAGAGAGGGGAGAGAGAGAGAGAGAGAGAGAGAGAGAGAGAGAGAGAGAGAGAAAGAGAGAGAGAAATACTTTCTTGATGGCTTGTGTGTATCTACTTCATGCTTCAGAGAAACTGCTCTATGCTGGTGGATCATCCAGCCTGTCTCGTTGAGGGCTGCGGTGATTGTCAAGAACATCTCTGTCCAGATTCCTAGATCACTCCTTTATCCCAGAGATATGACTGTATATATTTCCACAGGTAAATTTTTTTCCCATGAAAATATTTTTACACCTCCCCCATAAAAGAAACAAAAACACACCCAGAAATGGAAACACTTTAGATAATGTAAGAGGTGGGCTTCGACCTGCCTGTGAAGGCCAGCCCGTGCAGAGATGGACACTCAATAAAAATTCTTCCCACTTGGGTATCGAACTCTGGTCTCCAGCGTGCCACAGACGCGCCTAAAGAACTAAATGACACACACTGTTAGAGTGCACGTATTTTGTTTGCCCTATTTGTGTAGCGTTTAAACGATGAATCTGATGTGATATGTACGTTAGTCAGCTTTATTTTTTTTCCACATATAATTTTATTGAGAGTAATGTATAATTTACATTTGTATGTCTACCTGCCTAATGTGTTTCACGGTCCTGTACAGCCAAGAAAAATTTCAAGGACTCTCTAACTATTGAATTCACCAAATTTTTACGGCCATTTTCTTACTTATTTCACCATAGAAACCAGACAACATCACCCCCTTCAATTGCAAACATCTTGACTTCTATTCAAGCTTGATAGGTATTTTTTTGTTCAAAGCAAGGCAAATGAATAAGCTTTTAAATAATACCTATAAATTCTCATGCCCAAAAATTGACGAGCGCCTGATTTCATCGTGTCGTGACACATATGTGAGACAGGAAGGTGGAATCAGCCTCTCGTCAAAATAATTTAAATTTTAAAAACTTGCATTTTTCCGCAGGTTTGTGAATTTTTATTGAATTTTTGTTTTTTTGGCTCAACACCTTTTATGCCCTTCACAGATCTCATTTCTTTGTGGATTTTTCTGAAAAACGTTGATTAAAGGCACTCAAAAATGTAAATTTTCAGTTACCAAGGATTCTTAAGCTAAAGAAATAACTAATCTTTGGGGGGCATTTTCTCACTAATTGTACCTCTGAAAACAGGTGACCCCATCTCCTTCTTTTGCAAATATCTCGACTTGTATTCAATTCAAATGAATATTTTTTAATTCGAAATAATGACAAGTGAACAAGCTTTAAGATGATACCAATACCTCTACATGCCCAAAAATTGACGAGAGCCTGATTCCACCACGTGCCTCACATATGTTGAAAATATAAATTTGCAGTTTCCAAAGACATTCAAGCTTTGGAAGTCACCTAATTTTGGCTGCCACTTTCTCGCTAACTTTACCTCTGATACCAGAAGACCCTTATCTCCTTCATTTGCAAATATCTCAACCCACTCTTCATGATAGATGGGTATTTTTTGTTTATCAAAAGCAAAACAAATGAGCAAGTGTTAGGATGATATAATATGTCAAAAACTCCATATGCTCAAAAATTGACAAGGGTGTGAATCCAGCATGTCTTAATATCAATATAGAATATATTGTGTATAATATCATTATAGTGTAAAGCGCATAGGGATTGCATTAGAATGGGATTATGAGCTATACAAATGCTATTTATTATTATTATTATTATTATTATCATTATTATTATCATTATTATTATCATTATTATTATTATTATTATTGTAATATTATTATTAGTATTATTATTTTTATCATTATTATTATCATTATTATTATTATTATTATTATTATTATTATTATTATTGTAATATTATTATTAGTATTATTATTTTTATCATTATTATTATTATTATTATTATTATTATTATTTTCATCATTATTATTATTTACACAATTTGTGGGGTAGGAGAAGTATATATTAAAAGCAAAGTCTAACTCTTTTCTTCACAGATTCGACCAAAAGGAATACCCTACAATCATTCTATTCTCCCACCAATTATGTACAAGGCAAGGATGATGCGGTGATAAACCCTGGAAGAAGCCTCTATGTTGAGGTGGCCATGGACAGAAATTTCGATGCACCCATCAATGTCTCTATGGAATTTACAACAGTCAACGGTACTGATAATTTAAAAAAATTGTTATTTTTTGTTTGTATTCTACACTTCTGTTGTTCGACATTTATTTCGATATATGAGGAGTCCACGGAAAAAACGGGCATAGTGACAAAATGAAAATCGTGAGGGTATCAATTTTGAACAATTTGTTGACTCATAACTATTTCTGTTCAGCTTTTACTTGATTATTGATGTTAGATTTCCCATCCAATAAATAAACCACCAACGAAATAAATATGAAGTTATGAGTCCACAAGCTTTTAAAATTGACACCGCCACAATTCCCCATTATGACTATGCCCGTTTTTTTCAGTGGACTCCTCATATATAAATGCATAGATATATCAATACGTATATAATATACAGGTGTGTGTGTATATGTGTGTGTGTGTGTGTGTGTGTGTGTGTGTATAAGTGTGTGTGAGTGTGTGTGTGTGAGTGTGTGTGTGTGTGTGTATGTGTGTGTGTATGTGTGTGTGCGCATGCGCGTGCGTGTGTGTGTGATCTAAAATGTGTCCACAAGAGTGTAAAAACACTGACATTAAATAGTGACTGAGTTGGATGTTGGATGTCTCTAATTGTTTTGTTTGTTTTTTTCGTTATGTTTCGTTATTCAGCCTCGGGCTGTAATGGGGCCGCAGCAACTGTTAATGTCACAACGGAGAGCCAGTTCTTAACGTCTTTGGACTACCCCAAACTGTACAGAAGGTCAGTACTGTTGAGCAGGCTGAAAAATGAAAACCTGACAACAACAACAACAACAAGGATAAGTCACATTTTCCTAAAAATAGAATTCTGCATATTAATTATATTTTGAAAGCAGCGACAAAGGGCTGTCTATTAAAAACACTGACAAAGCGCTATTCTGTTACTTCACCTAGTTATTCTTGCTAGAAGATGCGTAGCCTAAACGCAACAACAACGTGAAGTCCAGAACAGTATTATGTCTTCAGGAACTTACTTGAAGTATTTCACGAATGAGGTTTTTGCTCATTTTCTCGAAATCATTGAAGTGTGACTCGACCTTGGTGTTGTTCTCAGGGCTTCAAACGTGTCACAGCACGGTGGAATCAAGCGCTCGTCAATTTTGGGGTATATCACTGAGTAATTGGTATCATTCTAACACTTTTTCCTTTGTCTTGGTTTTGATTTTTTTTAAAGTACCCTCCTTTCTTGACTAGAAGTCAAGATAATCGTTTGTAAATGAAGGAGGTGAGGGTCACCTAGTCGCAGAGGTAAAGTAAGCGAGAAAATGACTGCTTGAGTGTCCTTGAAAACTGATAATTTATTTAGTATATTTTAAAACGTTATTTGTGCCTTCGATCAACATTTTACTGTACAATCTTTAAAAAAAGTTTCTAAATGAATATTAAAGGAGTTTAGCCGAAAAAATGGGTAAAAATTGCCTAATGCGCCTATTTTATTTCTGCGCTGTTCCCATTCTATTTCTGAGTTCTGACTTTATTTCTATGCCCCCATTCTATTTCTGTGTTCTGACCTTATTTCTCTGCCCCCATTCTATTTCTGTGTTCTGACATTATTTCTATGCCCCCATTCTATTTCTGTGTTCTGACATTATTTCTATGCCCCCATTCTATTTCTGTGTTCTGACTTTATTTCTATGCCCCCATTCTATTTCTGAGTTCTCGTTCTATGTCTCCTTCTTGATTCTATTTCTCTATTCCTTTTTTCCCTTTCTATTTCTGTGTTCTCATTCTACGTCTCTATCTCCATATATTTATCTGTTTTTGTTCTATTTCTCTGTCCCTGTTTCTCCCTTTCTATTTCTGTGTTCTCATTCTATGTCTGTATCGCCATATATTTCTCTGTTTCTGTTCTATTTCTCTGTCCCTGTTTCTCCCTTTCTATTTCTGTGTTCTCATTCTATGTCTCTATCTCCATATATTTTTCTGTTTCTGTTCTATTTCGCTGTCTCTGTTTCTCTGTCTCTTTATTTCCACCGGACGTTTTCCTTTGTTTCATTCCAGTGGCGTCGACTGCGAGTGGAAACTGAAAAGCTCCAACAACAACCCACTTATAGTAGAGGTCGTTGACCTTGAGCTGAACTCTGCCCAGGGAGTGGACTCTTGTGAGAACTATCTATTGCTCGGTAATCCTCACTTCCTACCTTGGTTTAGTCTTGTATTAGTGGGTGGTTGGGAGGTGCTCTGATGTAGTCTGTTATTTCTTTTTTTTTTTTAAAGATCAAATATACATCGTCCCTATCTCTCCCCCTTCCTTTATTTGTATGTTACTCTCTTGTACTGTAGCACCTCATAGGGAAGATATGTATCGGGGGGGGGGAGGGTCGGGTATTTTTTACAAACTTTTAGCTGATGTCATTTGTGAACGGTCCCTTGAATGACATATGTGTGTTGCAAGTGCTGTAAAGTTATTACTGACGCTGTAAAGTTACCTGGCGGTCCGATGTGTCGGGTCTGTCAGGGGGCCCCCGTCCAAGATAAGTGTTGCCTCGTCGTGGTCCTGAGTTCGAC